AGATCACAGTCAGCTAAAGTGGCCTGCAGTACTGCACCCTAACCACTGCGCCACCTCGGCTCTTCCAAATGTGAACCAGGCCTTAGTCTCTATGCTTTCTTGGATATGTGTTTATACTGCTCCGCTTAGCAATCCTGGCAGGAAAATTGTTTCTCTTAAGTGATATGTTTGGGATATAAAGTGTGCTCAACAGCCTCCTTTCCAACTCACGTCTCTTTTCATACCATACAAGGAAGGTAAAATGACCTCTGAGCTGCAGCACTGCATATATCACAGGAATTCCAGAGATTTAACAAATGCTATTGCTGAAGTATAGCAGCAGCTAGCACGTATTACACCGAAAGTCATTTATTGTGTGTGCATGTGGAAATTTTGCATAGTTGCCTCTATCGACCTGAGTTATGGCAAAGCACTAGGTAGGGACTCGAGTTGTTAGAATCCTTGCTACTGTGTGTCTCGGCTTCCCAAACCTGCTTATGATTGCTCAGATATGAGTTTAAGCTACAAGTCTACAATCATTAATACAAACTCAAGCCTCTGTTTGCCTAGTGTTCTCCAACCCGATATTTTCTGGATATACTGGGACTGCAACACCCAGAACTCTCAGCGAGGATTGGGGATTCCAGCCATATTCAGGTGCTACGGACAAGTTAAAAACCGATTTAGGATTTATCTGGGCAGAAACCAATTGGATAAGTTCCTGGCCTTATCCAATTGGAGAAGCCTCAGTGATTCTTTCCATTGGCCGATCCAAATAAAAGAAAATAACATTTCAAACAGTAGCCTTGAAAACTGCGGAAAAGTCTTCTATATTTTCCTCAGCTAACATTTAGTTGCTCCCTGAGCCATCCGCCAGAAATCATAGGTCCAGAATGGGACAACTTGCCACAGCGAACTTGCCATGACCAATTCACAGATACAAAAATTAAATTAATTTTGACTAAGCATTGGCCAATAATGATAAAACAAAGTTAATCCAGAAATAGCAATAGCACTTAGGCTTATATACAGCTTCACAGTGCTTTATAGCCCTCTCTAGGCGGTTTACAGAGTCAGCATTTTGCCCCCAACAATCTGCGTTTTCATTTTACCCACCTTGGAAGGATGGAAAGCGGCATCAACCTTGAGCTGGTGAGACTCAAACTGATAAACTGCAGGCAGGCAGCAGAAGTAGCCTGCAATACCGCATTCTAACCACTGCTCCACCTCGACTCTGTTGTAACAAGAGCTATAATAATTGCAATGAAAATGTGGTCACCAATAATAAAAGTAACTGAATGAAATGATTAATGCAGCATTAAATTGTCCCATCCAAGTTATCCGATGAGTTGGCCATGGCAACTTGGCCATGGCGAGTTGTCCTACCTAGACCCTTGGTTGTTCAACTGTAGGACTGAGTAGACCATATCATTCTACTCCAGGGGACTGGCAAAAGTATGCATGTGGGATGTTCTCCAGCACTGACTCCCCAATCCCTCTTTTTCCAAAAAAAGTGTACATCCCAAAGAAGTCAGCTTCCAAGAGCCGCCAGCCTCGACGACGCCAGAGGCGCCCGCCCAGTACTTCCAACCCAGGAGCACCCAGGGAGATCCCTGCTGAGGCCGTGCACCAGTACGCAGAGATCATGGAAGGCCTAAACCCCAGCTGGGAGGAAGAAGAAGCCGAGAAGAAAGAACAAGGGATGGGCCGAGACACCCAGGATCAGGAGGAAGGAGTGTTCCCAGACCCTGGCCTGCTTCAGTATATTGATCAGTTGTGTGACGATGAAGAATTTGTTTGTAAGGTAACAGAGAATGTCCAATGGCAGGAGGATTTGTTCTTATGTAGTACATTATTCTTCTGTAGTATATCAGTGGCTGAGTGGCTAAGATGCTGAGCTTGTCGATCAGAAAGGTCAGCGGTTTGGCGGTTCGAATCCCTGGCACCGCGTAACGGAGTGAGCTCCTCCTATTTGGCCTAGCTTCTGCCAACCTAGCAGTTCGAAAGCACGTAAAAATACAAGTAGAATAATGTACTACATA